CATTCAAAGAGAAAACGAGAGAGATGATGATTCTGAAGCCACCCTATCCCAGCCATATTATTCACATATCGAGTCCCAACAGCAACAGTGTAGGGATGAGCATGAAATACTGTAAATTAAATGCTGAATGGCGGTTCATGCAGGGAAAGAACATATCAATATTCGCATATTCATTCAAAGACATGAAAATTCTTAATGGAGTACCCTCATTTTTTATTGAATTCCTAAAAAATAATATTTATAATGAATTTTAATAATTTTTTCGAATTTTTTTAAGCTTTATTCTGACCGATTCACCCGATTCCCAATCAGGATCGCCGATTCGTCGATCCGGATCGATTTTTTGGAAGCCCGATCCGGGTCACTGATCCGTTTTTTAAACTATTGGTTTAAAGTTTAAACTTTTAAAAGTACCAATGATTTTGCTTAGGCAACTTATACCAACCTTAGAATGGCATGCATAATAGAATGGTTTTAAAGCTCAATGAGTTTTTTTTTTAGAGAATTTATAGGTGCGGTTTTTATAGAGCCAAGGCTCTAAACATTCTAATTAGACCCCACCTTCAAATAGTATCGAGAAATACGGTTTCAATACTAGAAAGTTTTGTCTTAACCTTAAATTATATTTTCATCTTTAGTTATAAAATTTAAAGCTTAACAAATAGTGTAGATTGAGCAAATTTATGAAAACTTGAAAATTTAAGGTCAAAAAATGCGTTACAAAATGCACTATTTTCAAAACTTGAAATCCATTTTTTTTCTTATGTGTCCATGCATCTTGATGTCGAGATGATCAATTTGATGAAATTTGGATAACCAAACAACCTCTTACAGTGAATGTTTTGATGTAGGCTCTAATTTGATTGTCTAGAGCCTAGGCCCTATATAACTTGCCCTTTATTATATATCTATGTATAGGGTAGAAAATGGGCTGCTATCGACTAGTTAATATATAACTGCCACTGTAGAAGAATCCAATGGGCTATAATGTACTCATAGACTAGTGGGGTCATCACTGTCTGATGAAATGATGGGTGGTGGAGATTTGGACCCACCAAACTTCACATTTGGGTCACACTCCATCAGTGTCCATCATTTCATGAGGCAGTGGACCACCAATGGACTTTCCATTTCTCTAGTCCATGATTTATTAGCATACTCTCCCCCAAAATAAACCCGCTCTACCATAACATGCATTTTCATGCCATCTTCCGCTATCCATAAATAGTCCAAGATTCTTCAATCTGAATGCCTCAGATTTGGAGTCTTCCATCCAGCAACAAAGCATATTCAATACCCAAGTAACCTGAATAAAAATGCCAGCCATTTAAGCTCAGATTTCCATAGTAACTGATTTAAAATAAAAAAAAAGAAGAAAAAAGCTCACATTTCCTATGGAAAGAAAATAGGGAACAAGCAATTGCATTTTTTTTAGAGCAAACTTTCTATGCTTCCTCTACAATATAAAACTTATATACTTTCCCTTATCCAACCGTCCATCCTGAATGAAGGGCTGAGATTGCTCCCAATCATAATGTCACGTCTCTACACTATTTTATGTTTAACTTTTTTTTTCTATAAACTATTTTGACACCAAATTTTGTACATCCAATCATCTATTAAACTCGCACTAACGAAAAATATATAAAAATATATTTCAAATAAAATAAAATGACCAAAATACCCTTTAAAATTTCAAGGGATATTTTTCTAATTATATTTTATCAAAAAAAAATTTAATATATTTTATAGGT